CATCCCTGCTCCTGGTGCCTGGACTTGAAATCAGTGGGAGTTGGTACCTAAGCCCATTAGAGAACCTGAAATGATGTATCTACCACCTCAGCTCACTCTCACACACAAGCCAAAAGGAGAACAGAGCCACCACGCTGAGGGTCTTTGGAGAGGATCTGGCTCAGGCATCGTGGAGCTGTTGGAAGGTGTTTTTCATGGTGGCAGTAGCTTTCTGCTGCCTCGCACCATCAGAGGTTGCTTCTGCAGGATGTGAGCTTTGATGGTCAATGGGATGGCTGCTGCTGCCTCATGGCTGAACCACAGAGATGCGGAGGACACAGGCATCTTTCTCTAAAACTGCTCATGTTTGAATGTGGCAGCTCTGGAGAGCTATGGACCTCCTGGCCTCAGGGACTTCTTGGATAGAGCTTCGAGGAGAAGGCAAAAGGGAGGACAGCCGAGAGGAAAAGAGAACAAGAGGAGAAAAGAGGGCTTCAAGCATTTCATCCCCTTCTGAAGGCAGCTACAGAAGAGGACCAGGAAGTCTTGTGTAGGAATTGCAGCACCGTGTTCATTCACTGCCTCCCCGCAGCCCTGGTGTTTCCCATCTGCTCATCCTTTGGCCCTTACAAATACCTTGGGAGCTCTTTAAAATCCCCCTTTTCTGGTGGGATTTCCAGGAATACCTCAATCCAGCACCTGGCGGTCGTCTCCAGGAAGTGGACATAGGAGGATAGGAAAGGAGCAACTGTTGGGTGAAAAACCTGCTTTTTCCCAGCTTGAGCATCCAGCAGCCCAGAGTGCGGCCAGGAAGGTTTGACCTTGTGCTGGTGGGATGTCTGGGACCGAAGGAGAAGAAAGTTGCAATGTCATGGAGCTGGTTTTTCCCTAAGAGAGCTTAGTGGCTTTGCTGGATGTGGCTGGTGAACCGCGATGCTGTTCTCCTCAACAGGAGAGATGTTCACTTTGAGCGGTGGGGCTGTGGATGGTGGTGGTGGGGTCTGTGCTGCTCAGGAATAGCACTGCAGGTAGCTGAGCTTTTTTGCCTTTCTGGGTTGCTACAGCAAGTTGCCAAGGGGCAGCAGTCTGAAGTTTGACCCTAGAAGAATGATGCAATTGAGCTAGTATTTCTGCATCTTCAGTTAACCCTTTTTCAACCCTCTCAGGGGTGTTTGAATAGCAAGGTTTAGAACCACTGCAAGCCCCAGCGCTTGTGATGTGACCTGTCTGCTTCATAGGTGAGGATGCAAGTTGGGTTCAGGTTCTTGATCAGACCTTGAAGCCTGAGAGTCTGCTTTAGAAAAACTCTGCTCAGAACACATCTTTTCCTGGTAGGCCTGGGCTGGTACCTTTGTGTCGGTAGATGCATGTGCTGTTCCTGATCCTACTGATACTTAGTTTGCAGCATTGAAGGAGCAGGTTTTGCCATGCAGATGTGGTCATGAATTTCCCCTCCCTCTAGTTTTGTACATATTATATGTTACCTCCTTAGTGGGTGTTTTCTTCCCAAGAAGTGGTTGCTTTTTAAGTGTACAGTGCATACGCAGTTTGCAAAGGGAAAGCTATACATGCAAAATGTTACCATCAGCTGCAGGTCACAGCACACAGGTGTTTTTAATGCATAGCACTAATTTAGTGATGTGTTACAGCGAGTGTATAAGCCAATTGCTCAAATAAGTTTCTTTTCAGTTTGCACTTTATTCTTTCTCCTTGGCTGGGTCAAAAGAGAATAGGGTGTCTATGACAGAGCAGTGAATTAAACCCTGGGGAGCCAACATCTGTCCTTTAAGGCCCTCTGCTCCTGGCCAAGGGCATGTTTCTTCCTGCCCCATCAATCCTGCTCAGCTGCACCACTTGTCCAGGTATAAAACCTCCCTGCAAGCAGGGCTGGGGCTTTGGTGGAAGGGATTGGGTTAGGTACTGCCTTTCGGGGGGGTTCAGCTGCAATTTCTGCTCTAGGTTTCAATTTCTGCTCTGGGTTTCTTTCTTTCATGTTAGACTTTAGGGCAGTGAAATGTGGTCTTCAGCATCCCAGGGGTGAAGTGTTTTCCCTGCTGTTATTAGTGGTGGTGTGAGCACATCAGGGCTTGCAGAGCTTAGAGAAATTTTCAAATTTGTTTTGTAAAAACTTCTTTCTTCATTTCTGACTGTCTGAAAGGGCTCTAAAAATGCTCCCAATGGGTCGTCTCCGGAAGCGGTGTGCAGGGTGTTATCTGTCCTTTCCACTCTGTTTCCTTTTCTTCCTCCTCCTGAAGAACAAAGATATAAACATGGAGCTGAAGAGATGCAGGAGAAAAATGGAATAACCGACTCGTTGCCCAGGGGAAACCACAAATAACAGCCTGGGAGTAAACAGTGCTGACAGCCCTGCAGTACAACTCACGGGGCCTGGACCTGCCCGTAGGAAACTTGCTTTATTTTTAAAAGCCTGTAGGTAGGACACAGTGCTAATAGCGAAGGAGTTAAAAGCGTGTGGAGCTGAGGAGGTAGCAATCCTGTCTGCAGTTATAGTGGTGTTTTCAAGTGCATTAAAAGCTCTTAGCTAGCTGAAGTCTGTGGGCAGCTGGGCTCAGACTTAGTGGGAGTATAGCAGCTTGCACTTGTGGGTGTCTGAGTCATGAGGAAAGGGCTGGATGTGAGCAGGCCAGGAGCCCTGGTCTGTGGGATTATCTCTTCATTTCCCTGCTCCCCAGCTTGTGTGACTGCTGCTCTCTGGCTGCAGCAAAGCAGAACGGCTGGCTGCTGAAACCCCTTTCTCCGTGCCTGCCTTCATATTCCTCTGACAGGGCTCTTTATTACAATGGGATTTTGAAAAGTCCATATAAATCATTCACATTCAGAAGCAAAAAAGAGGCATGGGGAGGCGGATGCAATTAAAAGGGCAGCTCGGCTCAGCTTTCTGTCTAGACAGCCTTCTCTTAAAATAACTGGCAGTTGGAGCATCCACCTCTGAGCAGAAAGGGCTCTTCTCCGGGCCGGATCCCATGGCCTTTGAAATGACAAAAGACTTGGCTTCCTGGGTCCTGGACCAAACTGCAGGGCTTGGGGCCAGGCAGGCTTTGGCTCCACTGGTGCACAGAGCTGGACCCAGCTTTAGGGCTTGGGAAAGGGTGAGTCAAGAGCTCAACTTCCCAGACCTGGGGTGGGAGCCCTTTCTGTGCTGGAGTGTGGAAGGAGATTGCAATTTAGCAGCTGGACACCCTCTAACCTTCTAAGCAATGATATATGACTGGATTTTTAGCAGTGCTTGAGCTGCTTCATCCCCTCCGTTGCCCACTGGTTTAGTGTGGCCAGAGCTGAAGTGTCAGGTGTGGTCGAGGCAGGGGGGTTTCCCTGCCTGGGCAGCTGAGATAGATGAAATATATGGGATATTTTGTGTGCCACACTGGGATTTCCTGAAGTGACAGCAGTGATAGCTGGCAGCATTGACCCGAGTGAAGCACAGCAGCAGTTTCGCAGGGCCCGTTAATGCTGCAGAGTAGTTTGGCGCATGAAGCATGCAAAGGAGTGGAAGGAAAAAGCTGTCTGTAATGAGCAGAGGCCGCTCTGGGTGGTTTCAGGTCTGCTTTGGTGAGCAGGGCCTGAATTTGCTCCAGTGCATGAAAGTCGGGAGGCAAGATGCAAAGACAAGGGGTAGAATTGATGGTCCAAAGTCAAACACACCAGACATTACAAAATTGCACAGGATGTTCCCCTCAGACATGGATTTGCTGGAAGGGCTCAGGTGTGGATCATCATTGCTGTCCCAGCTGAAGGCTATACCTCGCGCTCTGGCTCAAATGCTGCTCTTACTCTTACTCTGCTCACTCACAGAGGTGAGTGCAGCCTTGTGAGGATTTGGTGGGGAAGCGTGATCGCTTCTCTGGGAGCAGACGCTGCTCTGGGCAGTCCCAAATGGCCTCATTTGCTGCACCAAGTATTGAAGGTTGCTAAGCTGAAGCATAGCTTTATTTGTAAGTTTTTTTTGTTTCAGCTATTTGCTGCAGAAAATTGTTTCTTGCAGCGGTACAGCTGGGGGAGTGAAGTTGGTGGGAGTAAAACTGTAGCAGGAACATGGGACTGAGACTTCAGTGCTGCCTAATTCTTCCCTGTCTGAGGATCCAGCCCAAAGCATGATTTTACTGCCTTTCACTGGGTGGTTTGTGCCTCAGTTTACCTGTACTAAGTCCTGCCTGGCTTTTGTGATGAATTAATCAATGTTGCATCCTTAAAGACCTCTCAAGGAAGGCTGCAAATACTCATTTTGATCTCAGACTTTATAAGGAAAGGGAAAGGCAGAGGTATTTGTGAGCACAGCCCCGTCCCGGTGCTGTAAGGCACTGCCTCTTTCTGTCAAGCCACAGCAGCTCATGGGATGGAGCGGCATTTTGCTTGTTTGTTTATATATTTTTTTTAACACAGGGAGTTACACACCCACCAAGCCTGGAAATAGCTAGGCAGTGACTCATGCAGGGGCTGGTTTAACTGGTCTGCTCTGGGAGGCAGCTGCATTTGGCAGCTGGGGAAGGCTCTTTCCAAAAGGTTTGACTCCGCAAGGGCAGAGGGTGTTTTCACTCGCTGTGTATTTATTTTACCTCTGAGCTTGGCCAGCTCGGTGTCTCACGGCTTGTTGCACGTGGCTTTTGTGTTTCTAGTACAGCTGAACTCCCAGGGCCTGACATAAAGCTGGGGGAGAGGCTTTGTCTTGATTTCTGCAGGCTTCAGATCAGGGCTAATGTTTCTGCGTGTATTTCATTACAAATGCTCCCTGAGAAAGTGTGTGGCCCTGCAATTCATTTTACCGCAGCACGCTGGTCCATGCACACGTCATCCTAAATCCTGGGCAGCATCCTGCTTGTGCTGAGGACCTCACCAGCTGGTGCAGCACTTGATGTGGCCACATCCCCCACCTGTTAAGAAACTTAATGGGAACCAGGGGTGGGATGTTGGCATGGGGAATGATGCTGAGGCCATGGGCTGTGGTGAGGGCTTGCTAGCTGTGGTGCCTGCACTGAGATATCCGTCTGTCTGTCTTTCCTCAGAATGGCTGCAGTCTGTCCAAGCGATGATGATCCTCTCCATCATCTTCAGCGTCTTGTCCCTGTTCCTGTTCTTTTGCCAGCTGTTCACGCTCACCAAGGGCGGGCGGTTTTACATTACTGGAGTCTTCCAAATCCTTGCCGGTAAGTGGGGGCTGATCAATGGGGCTGTCACCGGTGGGGAAAGGGCTTTCAAGCAGGGGAGAGCGTAATGGTGGAATCGAGCATGCTCTTGGGTACTGAAGCAGGAGGGCCACCGAACTGGCTCCTGTATGGCTCAGTGAAGGGAAAAGGGGATGAATAATTTGGGTCTGTTGAGGTCTCACACGCCCTGGGATGGTGTCCAGCTGTCAGGGCACATTACGCATTCAAGCTCTTCTGCCCTTGCATCATGGAAGGTGCAACAGGGTTGCTGCCCCGGCTGGGGAGGTTTCAGAGGGGCAGGGTGCCAGACCTGCGGAACCAGAGGCAGAGCTGTGCCGGCAGTCCTGGGTGGTGGGGGAGGCAGGGCACAGAGGTTGCTGGACCGAGGGTGAGTTGAGTTGCCCTGCAGCTTTGCCTCTTCTTCCTGCGGCTCGGGGTGGGGTGCTGATGGTCCAGGGTGGCTGTTCTAGCTCTGGGACCCACCTTTGGCGGGCTGGGTGAGGTTTCCACAACTGCTGCCGGGGTGGGGAAAGTAGTGACGATCTTCTTTTGGCGAAAGAGGATCTGATGATTATTTATAAACTTGCCATAAGGGGGCCTGGTGCTTTCCACATCAGCAAAGAGCCGCTGGAGCGTGCAGGGTAAGCCAGCTGACTTTGAACTGTCAGCTACTATTTTTAACTCTTAAAGAACTCAGCACTGGAAATGAGCCACGGTTCATGTCCTACGTTGCAGTTCTCCAAATATAGATGCTGTAAAGCCACTGACTGTTTACGTTTCCACGTATGAAACCAGTGGAGAGGATTTTCAAGCGTTCAGACTAGAAAAATTAAATTGTGCAATGAGGTTCTGGCTAAATTATGACAGACTGTCTGGGAAGGAGACTAATAATTTTCTAGAGCTTTAGATGTTAAACTAAAAGCCACCCTAGGTCCTGCCACTAAATCAGTGGAAAAACTCATCCACTGAATTTAGGCAAAGTTTCTGAGCATTCTCTAAGTGACTGGTTTTCACAAACCCCAGGAAAGTTTAGAGCTAACCTTTATTAGCAAGTGTGGCATGAAATCTATTATAAGTGTATCTGTTTGGCCATAATGCAGGTGATGAATTCACATCAGTTCACCATCTCTGGAAAGACACATATGTAGAAACCCATCACAGCCATGGAGACAAGGAAGGGAAATGGGCATTAATAATGTAATTATCTGCCTGAGAGCTTGTCTAATAGATCTGGGAGCAGAAGGCTTCTCTCTCCTGAGTGATTGCCGGTGAATCCTCATTCTCAGAGGAAGAGAAAAAGGGATTGCAACCCCCCTGTCCATGCTGTGCTGCATGTCCTAAGGGGGTGCAGGGTCAGGCCATAGACCTACAGTCTCTTTCCTTGTTGGGTCTGAAGCATGGGTCAAATCCATCCCCAGCCACTATGAAGGACAGGGAGAGTGTGACCTGATCCCTGTGAAGCTTCCCTATGGCCTGAGGGACCTGTAGGCAGAGGTCTGAGTCCAGATGGACCAGGCAGAGGTGGGCACTGGTGGGCATCCTTGCTGTTCTCCCCGGCCAGGGCTGGAGGAGAGGGCTCAGGGCAGCTGTAGTCTTTGTCACCCTAAATTTTAGGGTTGTTGGTAGGAAACAGGACATTGCTGTGCCAGCGCTGCCAGGAGATCCCACCTGGGGGTATGGATGGCTCTGGTCAAAGGAGCTGAACCTGATGTGGTCTCCTTGCAGCTTGCTGTGGAAGGCCACTGCTGTCTAATGCCAATGGAGGGAATTCCTGTGGCCTTCAGGCTTTCCAGGTGTTCATCCTTGCCTTGCAAAGCCCTGGCACCACAAAGCCCTGCTGCAGGCCTGCCAGGGCCAGGGTCTTACCTGCTTGAGGGCTTTGTTCTCAGCTCTAGCAGAGCTGGAGAGGACCTCCCTCCTTCTGGGAGGGGATGAGAAGGCTGTTCCTGAAGCCCTCCATCACCCTGCACCCTGCGGTGATGCAGCATGGCAAAGCTTGGCAAAGCTGAGGGTCTCCAGTTTTGGAGCCTGACCAACAGCAGTGCTGGAGCTGGACCCTGGCGGGTGCCAGGGCCAGGACCACTGGGTGCTGTTGGGTGGCAGAGCCGGCAGTGGTGCCCTGAGAGCCAGTGCAGAGGGCAGGGGCTGCTCTCCACTGTGACTTCAGCTGTGGCTCAGGGGAACTGGGGAGGGGAGGTAAGGGCAAGAAGAGATGCACGAGGTCAGTTGGGTCTGTTGTGCAGTGGCAGGGCAGGCTGCATCTTCAGCACCTTCTCCACACTGCTTGGAAACATGCTCCGACGTCTAGCTGAACTTGCCGTGATGGGATCAAAAGGCCCTCAACGGCTCCCTGCCATCCTTGGTGGGTCCGTCACATCCACACGTAACTTCTCATAGCTGTATAAGCCCAGCATGGGAGAGATGTTGGTTTGGGCCTCTCAGGGTTTGACCCAACTTTTCTATCACTCTCTCCAGCCTCAACATCACTTTTATCCCTCTTCTCTCATCCCTCCCACCCTACAGCTGCTGTCCCTGTGGGGTGGAGAGGGTAGGCTCAGCCTTGAGGGCTGTCCTGCAGCTTTTTGCAAAGCCCTGCGTTGAAGAGCTGACCATGAGCATGCACCAGCACCCATCCCAGCTTGCCTGCAGGGCTGGGGCAGAATGCACAGACCTGCAGCAACAGATTTTAGGTAGCATTTTCCCTCCTGGCCTATCAACACAAGACTAAAGTGTGTTCTTAAAATCAGGCTCTAAAGTGGTGATGCATTATTGCTTGCATCGGTGCAAGCAGCTGAATGCAGCTGCCCTTCACTTCCTGCACATGTTCTTTGGGCCAAAATCAGTGCAGAAACCATTGCCTCCATTTTGCCAAATTCCTCATGCGGACAATTGCAGCTGTATTTTCTGCTGTCTGTAGGTGACCGGCATGGCTGCATGCCTGTTTTCTGTCCCACCAGCATCCGCAGACAATTGTTGTGCTCTCTTTGCATGGGCCGGGGCAGTGGGAGTTGGCTCTCGTGCTTAGAGAATGGAAACTGCACCAGTGGCGCGTTAATGAAACATATTCCCACTTCTGCACTTTCCCAGAACAAAGGAGCAGTGTCAAGTGGAATTACAGCTCAAATATCACGGTGGTTAAATGTAGGTGGTCCCAAGGTCTGTGCAGGGGATTTGGAACTCGGCTCTGACAACAGCCCTGCGACTGTATAATAGAACTGCTGCGATTGACTGAAAGACCTTGTTTTTGGGCAGAAATAGAGGTGGCTTTGTGTTAGCTCTGGGCAGTCCCCAGCGCTGATGGGTTGTTTTTGCAACAAAGCTAAAATGCTGCCTACCGAAGCTAGGCCCAGCCGGACAGCCCTCGGGGACCCACGCTGACGAGGGTGGACGCCAGGAGCCGGGGAAGAGGAGGGGGGAGCCGTGGGCACAGTGGTGCTTGCAGAGAGTGGGGTTTGCAGTTGAGACCATGCCTGGCCAGAGGATCCTTGGCCCCCAGCTGTGCTTGCCTGGGCAGGTGATGAAGAAACTTTTGTGCTATAAAAAAACCCAGGGTTTATGTCTGACCCCTTGGAGCACCTCTGGTAGAGTGGTTCAGGCTACAGTCTGGGTTTTAAATAAGCCGCTTAAGGGAGCAGGGCTTGTCCAGAGGTGGGGGATGCCTGATGCTTGCCTGAAGGATGGATTAGCCCAGGCGATGCTCTGGCTTTGCTTACTCAGAGCCTGGCAGAGATATCCCCACTCACCTGCAGCCAGGGCAGAGCCCATGGCATCACACTCCCCCATCATACCATAGTTTTCCAGGGGACAGGTGTCGTGGTTTAGCCCCAGCCAGCAACTAAGCACCCCGCAGCCGCTCGCTCACTCACCACGACCCAACA